TCTATTCTATTCTATTCTATTCTATTCTATTCTATTCTATTCTATTCCAGAATTGTTCAGCAGTTGACTCACTTTTGAAATCTGAAATTGATATTTGTTGTTGAAAACTGAAGGTCTTTTAGATCATCTAGTGGCCATATTACTAAACTGATAAATTTTGTAAGTGGCCCGTATTGTTATTTTCCTTTCCACACAGGAGGTGACTCTCCTGTGGCCTTTGGGCTCCCTTGACCTTCAGTCTCACCATTGAGACTTATCTCAGTCCATATTCTTCTCCCTCACACCAGTTTCTCTCCTTTGGCACATTTAACTTAGCGAAAGAACATGCTTTCTTTTGTTTTGAATTTTGAGAAATGAGAATTAATTTCTAATTAATAATGAAGGGAGTCACATGGAATCTGTTCACCTCCTCACTCTTTCTTTAAGCCTGATAAAAGATTGGCTGTGTTCAACAAGCCAGGGCTTGCTTAACCAGAGTTTAATAAACAAGCCACAATGTCTGCCTTTTCCCAAGGTACTTAGCCGAAGTCAGGAAGTTTAGCTTAGTGCAATCTTTTAAGGTTGCTCTGGTGTAATGCTTTTCCTTTCTTATTTTTGAGAACCACTTGGAGTCATGAAGGAGTCAAAATCAAATCAATCAAATCAAAATAAAAAATGCCCAAGGAGCTGCTCGTCCAGTTTGACAGACGAATTATTGAGTCTGTCATCTGCACCTCTATAACTGTCTGGTTTGGTTCTGCAACCCAACAGACAGACACAGACTTCAGAGGATAATTAGGACTGCAGAAAAAACAATTACTACCAACCTGCCTTCAATCGAGGACCTGCATATGGCACAAATCGAAAAGAGGGCTGTGAACATATCTACAGACTCCTCACATCCTGGACATAAACTCCTTCCCTCAAAATGATGCTATAAAGCACTGCACACCAGAACAACTAGACACAAGGACAGTTTTTTTTCCAAAAGCCATCATTCTGCTAAACAAATAATTACCTCAACACTTTCCAACTATTTACAAAGTCTGCACTACTATTCCTATTAATCTTCTCATCACTCCTTATCACCCATTCCCTCCTACTTGTGACTGACTATATGACTGTAACTTTGTTGCTGGTATCCTTATGATTTTTATTGACTTGTTTCCTAGTATGATTCGATTGCTTCTTGTACCCTATGACTATCATTAAGTGTCGTACCTGATGATTCTTGAATCTTGGCGAATGTATCTTTTCTTTTTATGTACACTGAGAGCATTTGCACCAAGACAAATTCCTTGTGTTTCCAATCACACTTGGCCAATAAAGAATTCATTCATTCGTTCAATTGATAAATAAAACCCGGCCTTGTGTTGGGGAGAGGAAATTAGGGGTGGATTTTGTCCACTTCGGAAAGGAAGTGAATAGGATCAGATTCCTGTCTGCTGAACTTTTCCTTTGCTGAAGTCTGGGTGACTTACTTCCGAGGAAACCCACTCAGGGCTGTAAAATGCAAAATATCCAGGGGTTGGGTGCCCAGGACTTAATCCATTCAGGCTTCTAAGCAGACACATTGCCTGGCAATGCCCCATTAGTGCTAATCTTGGTTTGCTATGTTTTTGTGAAGTAGCCTGTTTTGGGGACTGCATTTTGACTGGCGAATTCCTGATCCTATGTATTTCCCAGGGGTGGGGATAAACCCAGTCCTAAAACCTTATGTGCATAAGGTAGAATACCTTATGCCACCAGACTTGAAATTCTAAAACTAGAAAACCTTGAATTACGCCGTCTTCGGTCTGACTTAAGCATGGTATATAAAATCATACATTGCAATGTCCTACCTGTCAATGAATACTTCAGCTTCAACCATAACAACACAAGAGCACACAATAGATACAAACTCAAAGTTAACCGCACCAAACTTGATTGCAGGAAATACGACTTCAGCAATAGAGTGGTCAATGTCTGGAATACTCTACCCGACTCTGTAGTCTCTTCCCCAAACCCCAAAAACTTTAACCTTAGACTGTCTACTATTGACCTCACCCCTTTCCTAAGAGGTCTGTAGGGGGCGTGCATAAGCGCACCAACATGCCTACCGTCCCTGTCCTATTGTTTCTCTTATTCTTCTTTTATTTTTCTTATATGTACCCATTTCATGTATTCACAACTATGTATACACTTATACTTATTATCTTGTAAACAATTGGCAAATCAAATAAATAAATAAATAAATAAATAAATAAAACTTGGCTCCTTCAAACTCTGGGAAAGAAATGAGAGAATCTCAGGGAGGTTTGGAGAGGGGGCTGAAGCTTGCGCCGCTCAGAGCGGGGTAAAGCTTCCTTGGATTGAAGGATCCCTCACTGCTGCTGATCCCCTAAAGCGGATTAAAATTGGGAAGAGACCCAGGGCTTACCGGGCGCTTGGCTTCTCCTGAAAGCTGTTTTTTCCGTCCTGGTCTCGGAGGAGGAAAGCTCTTCTTCCAGCTCCTTTAGTTTGCGTTTGGTAGAATTGGCGTTGCCCATTAAAACGTCCACGGAAAAAGCGTGCGCCCGGGAACTCAAAGCCATTGTTCCCCCTGCGCCAATCGCCGCCGCCCCCCTTTTTTCCGACCTAGAAGCGTTCCCCCCACCCCCCAAAAAAGCGCCTGCAGAGGGAAGATGTGTCAATCAAGGGGAAACCCCCCCCCCCCCCACAGTCCTCCGATCCACCCCTGGGCTACGATCCTTCTCCAACCCGGACGGCGTTGGACAGCTCAGCGCAGAAATATCCCCGGCTGGGTGGTGGTTGTTTTTTTCCGCCCAGAATTTGGGCAAGATTTTTCTTCTTTACAAAAGTTCTCTTTCCTCGATTCCATGCAAGCCTCCGAAAGAAGGAGGGAAGTTTGGTTCTTCCTCTTCCTTTTCCTCTTTTTCTTTTTCTTCTTCTCCTCCTTCTCCTTCTTCTTTTTTCTCCTCCTCCTCCTCTGAAAATTAAAAATATAAAACGAAACCCCAAGAACAGCGAGGTCGGGGAGACGCGCGGATGCGGGGCTGGGGTTAAGGAAGCGGAGTCAACGGGAGTCCCCTCGGCCGAAACCGGGGAAGGGCTCCGTTAAGAATCGCTGTTGCTTTCGGAAGGGGAGAGCCCTTTCGAGAAGGAACGGAGAGCGAGAGAAAGAGGAGAAGGAAAAAGAAACAACCAGGGGGATTGGAAGAGGGAGAGGTAACTGGGGAGGGGGGGGGGGGGGGGGGGGGGGGGGGGGGGGGGGGATGGCGCCCCCCCCTCCGGGCGCGGGGGGGGGGGGGGGAGAGATAAATAGCAGGGGCTCAGCGCTGCCTTCCCTTGGCCAACGGGGAAGGAAAGGCGC